TCATGCTTGAGGCATGTAGTTCCCTTTCATAAAGATGAGATTGTCCTTGTTCGCAATTAGTAGAGGATGTAATGTCTGAATGAGATTTATCCAGAGATGATAGGAAGATGCTGTTGTAGAATGTTTAATTGCAAGTGGCAAATATAGATTGATTATATTGCTGAGCATTGAGCATTGTTTTGTAATGTTGTGAGTTGACAGTCAAATCATTTGAGTCCCATTTATGGTTGTTGACTTTAGAAGAAAAAAAGAGCAAAGCTCTGTTAGATGGCTTTATTGAATGCAAATGCTTATGCCTCATCATTGGTATGAATTTTTTAATTATCCCTGTGGGCCCTTGGCCTACAGGCCAAGTGGATGGATTTAACCACCTAGACTGTGTGACTGTTCTACTTCCTGGTGGATTTTTACCACACCACCTCATTAGGTGGCATCTGTTAGAGGGAGGAATCTTAATTAATATAATGAAAATAAAGATGTAAATCAGTATCCATTATCATAATCTATCATTATATGTATCATATTAAAGGATGCATGATGGTTTGAATGTCTTATTTATTCAGATGAGTAGTTCAAGTCGGTTTGTGATCCTCATTCTTTTCTACGTCCTAATCTGCCTGGAGCACTGGTGGCCTGTTGCTGTATGTCCCCATTTATNTTATTCAGATGAGTAGTTCAAGTCGGTTTGTGATCCTCATTCTTTTCTACGTCCTAATCTGCCTGGAGCACTGGTGGCCTGTTGCTGTATGTCCCCATTTATTTTATCAAATCACCCACATGTCTTTGGGACAGTACTTGTTATGCATCTTGCTTATGCAGGTGACAACTGCTGGGAGTAGTGCCTTGATACTCGCCAAAGTCTTTCTCTATCAGGTGGGAGTGTTGATATTGATTATCCATTCATTGCAATTAGGACTGCAATGTTGCCAGGTTTTTCTACAGTGTTTTTCATTTGAGTTAAACAATTATTCACTTGACTCAGACACATGTGCATGGGATGTTCCACATGCATGAGTGTTGAAGTCAAGTGAAAAAGTGTTGAATTGAAGTGAAAAACGCTGTATACCCAAGTTGATACTTATCCTATATTTATGTCAGTATATCTTTCAGTATCTCTAAATGAAAGTTGGCTAAATTCACTCTCTTCTCTGTAGTGATGGATATTGACTGGTTTTTAATGTAATTTGGCTAGATCATGTAAGGATTGGGTATAGCTTGGGCATATTTTTTTTCAAGACAGGATCAGACCTCAAAGGGATTGGAAAAGCAGATAAAGAAACAATGGATTACATTTTCCTCTTGATATGGGTGCTGTCAGATGATCTCTTGCACTAAAATATATTGGGATCAGGGCAGAGTTTAACTATAATTTTTTCCCTAATGGCAAAATATGCATTATACTGCCCAAAACTGAGAGTGGTGTGTCTTAGCACATGAAGCAAATCAATTTATGGGCCTATTTTAGAAGAGGGTTGAAGATGTCAGGATTTTTTAAATTTATTTTTGACATAGCTGGTACCAGTTGTATAAACAGAATGTATATTTTATGCATTATGTATATGCATATCTAGGATTTTCAAATCAGGAGATATATATTTTGGGACTGAAGTGATTGGAGTGCTGAGCAAAGGGTGTATGTGTGGACAGGGAGTCTTGGGTCCATACATGTCCCCCCCCCCCTCCCTGCTCCTGGCATGTGCCTTCAGGGTTGTTGACCTAATACTTGCTGGGTTGGAAGGGTGAATGATGACAAAATAGGTCATGGTTAGGATGACAGTCACTATGGGAGGTTTGAACCCCCTGAACTCCCTCCTCTTAAACACATCCCTGAAACATGGTCTTTAATTATGTTTCCTGTCAAAAGACAGGAATTAGGTGATTTATGATACCCTTGTCTTGTTGAATCAGTTTCAGGCCCAAATGCCGCAACCTCTTTTAGTTAACGGTCCTTTAAGAATACATGGATTCCTATGGGAGAAAAAGAACTCTTTAGCTTAAAGGTCCCTTCATCTCCCCTAAATAAGGTTTGTGCATTCAGGCCTTTAAAAGATTTCTTATTTTTCACGGTCCCTGAAGTTGAATGGAGCAAGAAAGTATTGTATCATCTACCATTGCTACCATACTGTGGCATATTTCATGTTTTAGTGAAACAGATAAAGGATATAATTCAGCATATTAAAATGCATACATAGTGGTAGCTGAGTGGAGAAAGTTAATGTAATGCAGTATAATTCAAGTAATAACTCCATGGGGAACTAAAACAAGAGATCAACCTTTATGTGAATAGGAGGAAAATGGAAAGGAGTTATTCTTCTCTACTGAGGGAAATATATACTTCCTTGAAGAGTCTACAAGAACTGCCCTGCCTATAGGACAGCAGGCCCAAAGCAGTGCCTGTTCTTATGTCATTCAGTTTATGCATTATGAAATATTCAATATTTATGCCTACAGTTGCCTCAGGCTGAGGACTGTCATACAAACCAACCTTATTAGGATCTGTCTGGATAGCCCATTGATATTGGCTAAGTATGAATAGAGTTGGCTTGAATGATGGCATAAATGTTGGATAGTGTAAGGGGCTGATATTTGATGTTATAGTATCAAGCAGAGTCTCTGATGTTATCTCTAATATATATTAATGTTATCTCTAATAATACATTATCCCATTGTATGATGAAATATCATTGCAGTCCTAGTTGGAATCCTGCAAAGCACTGCTCTGCAGAAATTCTCTTGTCACTCCTTCATTCACATTGTTGTTTCTTTCTCATTTAGTGGACACAGCATCCAACATACATGTTTGAGGTGATTTTTTTGTTGCTGAGCTTCATTCTGCCATGGGGACAGGCCTGGTTCTTGGACTTCCGTGTCTTGCCACTTGAACAAAGGGCTGCTGCAGTCCTCTCATGTATGTCATTTTTCTTCCATAGAACTTCCATATTAGAATTTTAAAACGTTTTTAACGAAATATGACTTTTGAGCACCATCATATACATCATAGCCTGACTGGATTTCTATAAATCTGGTGTTTGATGTGAAGGAGTGGTAGAGATTGTTGGAGTTAAGAAGTTATAGACTAATTCTTAAGTTTGTACTCATTTCAAGTATCAGTTGTGTCAGTTTGTGCTCCTATTTTTAGACTTTTACAGTATTTTCTGAAAAAGCCTTATGGATTTTAAAAATGATTTCCTCTTAAAAAATTTTTTATGTCCAAAATTCATATGTGGTATTGGATTTTTTTCAGCCCTTGGTCTGGGGGCTGGTGAAAGGGAGCCGTTGATCCAACAGGGGAATGCATCCCTCCTCCGGTTTAGCCAGTCTCGTCATGTTCAT